TATAATATAATATTCAAAATATATGTAAATATATATTATTAGATATTATATCTACAAATATCTAAATCATATATAATTTGATATACATAATCTAATATCTTATATCATATAATTTAATAGTTAAATTAGTTAAACTTTTATTATATAAAAAAAATTATTAAAAATGTTAAATTTAGTGTTAATTTATAAACTTATACCTAGTATATACGGATTTAACTCCTATAAGTATAACTTCTTATAAAAGAAATAGAAATATATTTTATATTTCTTTTGACAAATTAACAGAAAAAAAAAGGCAAAAAAAAATGATATTGGAGTTAGTAACACCGTTGCATTTATTTTTATAAAAATAAAAATAAAAAAATAAGACTTTGAATTTATATTTGTGATTAAGATATAATCACTAATATATAAACGTTGACTTGATTTAATTGATATTTTATTTAAACAGTAGGATATCTTGGGGGAAAAAAAAAAAGAAATTAACTGATTCAAGTGTCATTTCTCTTGTCAAATGTGATAAAGTTTTATTTGATAAATTTTTTTTTTTTTTAAAAGTCAAAGGGTTTGTAATTTTCTGATATAAGGGTTAAGGATTTATTTCATTATCAAGAATGGTCTAATTTTTTCTTTGTTTCTCTTTAAAGGGAAGATTAACTAAACATTAGTTGTATGTCTGGGAAGGGTGAAATAGAAGAGAAGAGGAAGAAAGTATGAAGATTAACTTCCTCAACTTGTTTTCTTTTTGTTTCATTTATTTTGTATTTATGAAAAAGTAGGTAAAATGAAACATTTACGAGGGTCCTTATAATGCTATTTGTAATCGTAGATTAGATTTGGACAAAATTCTTTCTACCAAATAGTTTACCACTAATTCAGTGCTTTCCGATAAGACAGTTGTAAAATGGCTGTACAAAACATGAATTCAGAAACTCGTAAATTTTTAAGTAAAAAAAAATGTTATTTTTTTTTTTAATAAAGATATATAACTTTTATTTTATATTCAATTGAGTATCTATAATTATGTGTAATATATATATATACACACGGGTGGATTAATATTTTTTATGGTCAATATTTATTATATTATTTTATTCTTTAATTATTCTCTAAATTACAAGTTACTTTGGGATGTTATTAGTTAATTTATTGTATCTATTTAAACGAATTAAACTTAAAAGTTAAGTTAATTTATTTTATTTTAAAATATAAATTTTGAGCTTGATTCATTTAATTATTTTATAAATTTGATTATTTATATATATATTAGTTCTTCAAATTAAATTTTAATTATATTAATTTAATACTTAATGCATATAATTTAAATATGTTAAAGATAAAATAAAGTCTTTGATAATCAGAATAGTATATCTTTAAAAATGATTTTTTTAATCTAAAATATAACTCTTAAAAATTGAAATTTGAAAATTAGATAAATGAGAAACATAAAAAAGTAAAAAAGTAAAACTACATTTTAAATAAATAGAAAACATGGTAATATTTTAAAAAAATATTACATAGTAATATTAAGTTTATGAATTTTAAAATTATTTTACTTATATATCTAAATTTTATTTTAAGCTTAAATTTATTTATCCACATAAATAAAATAAATAAATAAATTTGTAATCAAACACTAAGTTAAGTACATATTAATTAGTCAAAGTTAAATAATTAAAAAATAATTTAACTTCTTTTATAGCTGGCAATGTTGTGTATCTGCAGAAATTTAAGCTCGAGGGAACACTAAAAAAAGGGGTCATGCTATGTATATGTTGGTTTGTTAACTCAATCACCATAACAAATCTTATCTATCATAACAACCTTATCATGATCTCCTAGAATTGTGCAATCTCTCTCTTAGTTATATCAAAATTATCTACTCACTTGTATAAATATATATCTCCTATACATTGGAAATCAAGTTTGAAATCACATTCACAAAACGTATTCTGTTTCTATATATTTCTACATGGTATCACAGAGCCACTAGCTTCACAGTGCCTATCATATTATTTTTTTTCAAATGGCTACCACACCAGCTTCCACGAAACCCCTTATTGAACTCACTACAACAACCAGTCTTTCGATCAAACTTAACTCCACAAACCATCATACTTGGTATAATCAAACGCATCTTCTTAAGGCCAATGATCTCTTTGGCTACGTTACTGGTGAAACCGCTTGTCCCCCTCCCAAAACTGGTTCAGAGGGAAATGTTACAACCAATCCAGAATATACTCATTGGCAACGACAAGACCACTTTATTTTCCTTGCCCTTCTTGGTTCCTGCATGGGACCGACTCAACAAGCAATATGCTAATCGATCTCGCACTCGTATAATGTCCTTGAAGGAACGACTTGCCTCAATATCTAAAGGCACCTCTGGTGTTGCTGACTACCTCCGCTCTATAAGGGTCATTGCCGATGAGCTTGCTCTCATTGGTCATCCCATTGATGACCTTGATTTGGTGATCACCGCTCTCAATGGTCTTGGCCCTACCTTTCGCGAGTTTACTGCCTCAATTCGTGCACGTGACTCTCCATTACTATTTGATGAACTATTTGATAAACTCATTAATTTTGAGATCTTCCTCCAACGTGAGGAACGCCACCAGCAATCTCTTCCAGCCACTGCCCATTACACTCATTGCTATAATGCTTCCTCCTTTCGTGGAAAAAGGTCCCAAAACTATCGCAACTCATCATCAGTTCGTAACTCCACTACTTTGCCTTCTGCTGCCTCCTCTAATTTTTCTAGTAACTCATCTCAGAGAGGATCATCATCCTCTCGTTCGGTTCCCAAATGCCAATATTGTGATTGAAGAGGCCATACTGCCAAAACTTGCTACCAGCTGATTACTTGACTCGGGTGCTTCACATCATGTCACCAAGGACATTGCAAATCTGTCCCTGGCTGACACGTATCAAGGCCATGATCAACTCTTTGTTGCCAATGGTAAAGGTCTTTCCATTAAGAACTCTGGTTCCACCATTATTCCCACCTCATCTACCCCTCTCCATTTATCAAATGTTTTACATGTCCCCTCAACTACTCAAAATTTGATTTCTATTTCTCAATTGTGCAAAACTAATCTTGTTTCTATTGAATTTTTTCCCTATCATTTCGAGGTCAAGAGCCTGAGCACAGGGGCGATTCTTCTACGAGGCAAAAACGATGATCACGTGTACAAGTTGCCTTCCAACTCACCCCCCCAACTTCATCATGTTCACTATCATTCCTCCCTTTTGTGGCACCACCGGTTAGGCCATCCAGCCAGTCTTGTCCTTAACCATGCATTACGAAGTAGTCAAATCCCTGTACAAGCTTCTGCCACTCGTTGCCTGGATTGTCCTGCCAACAAAAGTCATAAGATACCATTTAATAAATCAACTTTGTCAAGTAGTTGTCCTCTTCAAGTTGTCTTTTCTGATGTATGGGGTCCAACCTCTGTCACTTCAATAAATGATCATTCCTATTATGTCATCTTTATTGACTTATTCTCCAAATATGTATGGTTATATCCAATTAAATTTAAATCAGATGTCTCCACTATTTTTCCTATTTTTAAGTCTCTTGTTGAAAATCAACTAAACACCAAAATCAAAACACTTTATACTGATAATGGTGGAGAATATATTAAGTTGCACTCCTTCCTTCAAAATCATGGCATCACTCACCTAACCACTCCTCCCCATAACCTTGAGCATAATGGCCTATCTGAACGCAAACACTGTCACCTCCTCGAAACAGCTCAATGTTTGTTGCACCATGCCTCTCTTCCCCTTCACTTATGGTCATATGCACTTCAAACAGCCGCTTACCTAATCAATCGCATGCCCACTCGTCGTTTACATATGAAATCACCTCTCCAAGTTCTATTTGGTTGTGTTCCTAATTATATTAAGCTACAAATTTTTGGCTGCCTATGTTTCCCGTGGCTTACTCCATACACACCTAACAAACTTGTTCCCAAATCAAAACCATGTGTGTTCTTAGGTTACATTCCAACTCAAAGTGCATACTACTGTCTTGATCCTCAATCCTCCAAAATCTTCACCTCTCGTCATGTTCAATTTGTTGAGGATATCTTTCCTTATTCCTCTCCACTAACTTCAAGTGCACCCCCCGACTCAACTTCAAATTTAAATCTCCTACAAACTCCCCAACAACCAGCACCTCTTATTCCTTCTCAACCGTTAGCCATAACACATCCAATCCAACAACCCCCATCATCTCCTAATATATTATCCTCTTCATTCAACCAAGCACCTGTCCTTGACCCCTCTCCATCCTCCAACCTTGCCCCATCATCCTCACCCATCTCACCATATGTTCCATCTCCACACCCATCTTCAACCCCTGCCACCTCTATCAATGAATACACGTTATCATCTCCTCTTGCAAGTGTAGATCCTCCTCCCCCGTGCTCATTGGCTCCAAAGTCAACTCACCCTATGACTACTCGATCTAAAAATGGCATCTTTAAGCCAAAACAAGTTCATGTAGTCACCAAATTTCCACTGCCTAGTCCTGTTGAACCCACATGCTTCTCTCAGGCTATAAAGCACCCCGAATGGAAAGCTGCCATGTCAGAAGAGTTTAATGCTCTTATTGCCAATTGTACTTGGACCCTTGTTCCTCATCAGTCACACCATATCATTGGCAACAAATGGGTGTATCGACTCAAACGTAATATCGATGGTTCAATTGCTCGGTACAAAGCTCGCCTTGTAGCTAAAAGGTATCATCAACGCCCAGGTGTCGACTACAATGATACCTTTAGCCCAGTTATTAAGCCACAAACAATTAAGGTGGTCTTATGTCTTGCAATTTCTAAAGGGTGGTCCCTAAGTCATATGGACATCAATAATGCATTCCTCCATGGCACTATCGCTGAAGATATATACATGTCTCAACCATCAGAATTTGTGCACCCTCAATACCCAAATCATGTCTGTAAGCTGCAGAAGGCATTGTATGGGCTCAAATAGGCCCCTAGGGCTTGGTATCATGCTCTCAAGGACTTTCTCTTGGATTATGGCTTTACAAACTCAAAATCTGATACCTCTCTGTTCGTATACAGCCAAGCAAGTACCATTATTTATTTCCTAGTTTATGTTGATGATCTTTTACTTACAGGCAATGACACAATGTTATTAACAAAGTTTCAGAAAGCTCTAGCAGCAAAGTTCTCTTTAAAAAACCTTGGTGCACCCACTCATTTCTTAGGCATTGAGATTGTACCGACACAGTCCGGCTTGTTTCTAACACAACATCATTATATACGTGATCTCCTTCATAGTAACAACATGCATGAGGCAAAACCAGTAACCACTCCGCAAGCTACTACCTGTGACCTTGCTACCACGGGTGATGCATCCACATGTGATATCACTATCTATCGCAAATTAGTTGGATCTTTGCAATATCTTTCCTTAACGATACCCGACATTGCCTTCTCCGTCAATAAGCTCTCCCAATATATGCAAGCACCAACTGGCTTACATATGCAAGTTGCAAAGCGCATCTTACGCTACCTCAAAGGAACAATAGACTTTGGTCTTCATCTCCGCAAATCAAATTCTCTTCAGCTGCATGCATTTTGTGACTTAGATTGGGCAGGTGATTCTAGAGACATGAAATCCACTGGTGCCTACATTGTTTATCTCGGTTCAAATCCCATTTCGTGGTCTTGCAAGAAGCAAACTACGGTTCCAAAATCTTCAACAAAAGCATAATATCGCACCATTGCTTCCACTGTCACCGAAGTTCTTTGGCTTCAAGAGTTGTTTAAAGAACTTCATGTACAACTTCTATGTCCTCCTATAGTGTACTCAAACAACATCGGTGCAACCTATCTATGTGCAAATCCAGTTTTTCATTCTCGGATGAAACATCTTGCAATAGACTACCATTTTGTTCGAGATCTAATGGCTAACAAATAGCGCTTCAAGTGTCTCATGTGCCCTCAAGCCACCAGTTAGCAGACTTACTTACCAAACCATTGGCTTCTAAACGCCATCACTTTCTGTTGGACAAGATTGGTGTTGTCTCCTCTACCACCATCTTGCGGGGGCGTGTTGGCCTGTTAACTCAATCACCATAACAAATCTTATCTATCATAACAACCTTATCATGATCTCCTAGAATTGTGCAATCTCTCTCTTAATTGTTATACCAAAATTATCTACTCACTTGTATAAATATATATCTCCAGTACATTGAAAATCAAGTTTGAAATAACATTCACAAAACGCATTCTGTTTCTATATATTTCTACGGTATAGACATGAACAAGAAAAGTGCACATGCACTGATGCACATAATCTAATCTAACAGCAATCAATAATGGTGATAATTAACCTTTAACCATTGCTTATTAACTAATGATCACACTTCTTGACTTTCACCATTAACGTACATTTTCTTTTCCACGTGCACCATATTTTTTTCTCTCATAACATCATCAATCCCATTATTACTTGATTTCAAGTAAAAGATTTATCGCTTAAAAAAAATAGTATAATAATTTTTTTTTATAAAACATTTTTTTACATTTGAACCACCCGTATCAACTTAATGATGAGAGTTTGAGTAGTATACGAAATATTTTCATTGTCAATAGTGAATATTTTATTTTATTATACAAAAATCAATTAGAGAACCTTTTCAAATTGAAGAGTAAATTTAAAAATAATTTATTTTATAAAATTATATTTTAAAAAAATAACCTTTGAGATTAATTTTTGGTTCGTTAAATTGATTATATAGGGAAGGTGTTAATATTGTTCTTCCTAAGACAATCACTTAATTAAATATGTAAAATTTAGATATTTGAAAAATATTTATTTATTAAATGAAAGTATATATATAATTATCTTGATTGAAAGTATTTTTGGAGTTATTTTTTTAATGAAAACATTTTTAATAATTTTTCTTCCACTAAAGCATTTTTAGAATTTTTTCTTAACAATCTTTAGTTACATAAAATAAATACAATATTATTATACAAACTAAAAAATAATTAAAAAATATAATTCATAATCATATAAATGGAATTTTGTCGACAAAATATAAATAGAAATTATACCTGCGAAAATAGATCCAATTACATTGTGCTTTTTCAAATAACTAAATTCGGAGCAAATAATAAATATATCACTTCAAAGTAGGGGAAATGTAAGGGGAAAATAAATAAATAAATAAATAAATAAACGTAAATTTAAATATAACAGTACTGACGTGAACCATTCAAAATCAATTCTAATAGTGCTTTTGCTGTATTTTCACCGGCCTGTGTTTTAAATTTTAATCATTGCATTAAATAGTTAATATACTCTCGCTCATTCTCTCTCTCTCTTTTAACTTCTATTTTATTTTTCTATTTGTTTTTATATATTACATTTACATTTACTTTTTATTTATCACTATTTTATTTTCACCCATTTATTACACGATATGTTTATTACTATTACTTTGCAAGAATTGCTGCGTGTTTCTTTTGAAACTAGTTGAAATTTGAAAACATGCACTAGCATATAGTCAAACATTTTAATATATACGTATGGCATTACACGCATGCATGACTACCAATAGCCATCAAGGGAAGGTAAAGTGTCGACGTCACTAAATATGCTCATTCATTATTTATTTTTTTCTTTTACATTGAATACAACGGTGGAAAGAATTATATTATTTTTTATACCCAATTCTTATATTATTTATTTTCTACTTTTGTTATTTACATCAATCATTTTATATATATAATCATACAGTTCCTTTCTTTTTCTCACTTTTTATCCCATTTTCTCTCTATCTCTTCATTTTTTATGACATCATTTATCATATTGTTTGATGTTCATTTTCTTTTTTTTCTTAATTAATTATCTTTTATTTCTATCCATCTCAATTTATGTATAAAAAAATGGGATGAGGGTTAATTACTACCCTTCATTTTTGACACCTTTCTATCTTTTTTCGATACATTTCTTTCTACTTTTTATACCATACTATTACTTATTACGACTATAAAAATAAATTGTCTCTGTTTAAAACTCCAATTTCTTGAGAATGACACATCAACAAAGGGTAATTAAGATGGACCACATGCTTGAGTTCGAAAGAGCCTCCAAGAAGCTAACTTCACGCTACAATAGAATAGTAGGTTGAAACATGATTAGGATACCACAGCACCCATTAATTCTATAAAGTAATAATCAATTCTGACTGATTAAGCCTTCCCACCACTTTGCTCCCTTTTCTTTACCAAACTAGTAGGATATATGATTTTCTCATCTGTTCATTCTTATTCTAATCAAAGCCCTAAAGAGAACGAAGGTATCGAAACATTAAGCCACTCTATGAATTAATACTCGAAATTCTTTTCTTTTCAACCTGCAGAGTGATTCTAAATTGCTCCACAGACTGAATCTAAACTAGATTCTTACAGACTGGATATTGGACATCTTTAGCTATATATAAAAATTATATTAATCACAGAAACCTAGACTAGGCTTCAAGGATTGTTACGATTTGTATTTCAATTAAGTGAGGAGACATTCTATTATATATGGTTTGCGATGCGAAAAAAACCTAAATAAAATTGCCGTTGTTATATTAGTGCCTTCTGTTTAATTTAATTGCAAGATTCTGGAATTTAAAGGATTAATTTGACGTACTTTAGAAGGAGCACCTGCAAAACTACCAGCTGACAATTAAGATGACATATTAATAACCAAAAAGATTATTTAATAATTAACACATTATAAACCTTACATGCACATTTGAGGTGCAACACCAGCAAACCTCACTATAGCTAGAAGGTAGTAGTACTGTACATAAGGTAAAAAAACAAAATGAAGATACACTTTCCAGTTTCCACACAAACTATATCTTTCCTCGATCGTGTCTAAGCAAAGTCTAGATGTAAGAGTTCTCCCATAATTTATTATTACATATTTCGTACCTTTTTCCTTATTAGGATTTTGACACTAGTAATATAAGAAGTTTTTTATTATCTTATATGTAATTAATAAGGGAACCCCCAGAGGTTGGGATCTTCATCCATGTATTCATAGTCGGTAGTAGCAATGTCAAAACGAGGAGGGCTGAGTAGCATTCCCTCAGCCATATTGACCAAAATATTCGGCATATCAAAGATCAAATCCTCATCCACAAAGTGGTTTAAATTTCCCCCAGAAAAGTCCTGTGCAAATGAAGCCGAAGCGTCCCCTCCCCAGCTTCCTTCCAGTAGTGCATCATTCGCTGCTCCAACAGCGGCTGCAGCACTAGCCGCAGCCATCTGAATGTCACGAGGAGCGGATGATGCAGGAACAGGAAGAGAAGAGGCCGAGTTAGGGAAGTTGAGTTCGGCATCCTTACCCTTAAGGGCAAGGGCTGCGACATCATAGGCAATAGCGGCCATTTCAGGGGTGGCAAACGTCCCTAACCAAATTCTGTTGGGTTTTTTGGGCTCGCGGATTTCTGAAACCCATTTGCCACTACTCCTACGCCTCACTCCACGGTACACAGGGTGGCGCCCTGTGTTACCGTTGGAGGATCTGCTGGAGGAAGCAGCGCAAGTGTTGCTGGAACGCATGTTGGTTGTATGAGGAAATTTTGGAAGGTGAAGGTGCTTGGTGATGGCAGTTGACAGTTGAGGGAAGCCATTTATTGGGTTCAGAATTGGGATGGCTGGAGAAGGAGTTGTGAGATGGAAGTGCAAACCAGTTGTTGCTGAACTACGGTGTGTGAAGGATTGGGGTGTAAGACAGCTTTGGATAACTGGGTTGGAGTTGGAGAGCGTTTTCTGTATAATAACAAAATAAATAAAAAGGGAATTAATTAGCTGCTTTCTGCTCCCCTTAAAACGACGTCAAAATTATCAACAGTGATATTGCACTTTGTCTATCAATCGATATATATGCACATCACTAACCACCATGCTTGGTTTCTTTTTTCAACAGGGATTTTGATATATCTTAGAGAACATGATTTTTCATCTTATTATCAATGTTATAAGACTGCTGACGTGGAAATTTTCCAGTGGCTAAATTTTATCGGACGAGGATTTTTGTTTCCTTTGTTCATTTTGTCCCACCATTTAGGTAGGGTTTGTGCTGTTGCTGCTACATTGCTATGAGAATTATTTCAGAAGGCCGTACGTAGTTTTTCCTCGTCAGCACCTGTTTGCAAACAAATTTTACCTTCTTACTGTGCTATATATACGTGCTGCAATCCGTTTGTTGTCTTGTAAAGACATATCAATATACGCATGATATGATCTCTAAATTCTAAAATTAGAATGAAAGAAGTGCTTCAGAATTTTAACAATTTCCAATAGCCAAAGGGACTGTGGCTAAATTAGACAGGGTTGTCTAGCTAGTTACCCCCAAGTGAAAAGGTATAAGTAACCCCGTCGTTGATGTGGTAAAGGGATGTGTAGGGATAGGTTTGAATTTAGTGTTCGAAGAAATTTGAATAAATTATATGGAAACCTACTAAGGTTTCGTAAAATTTTATTTACACTTTATGTTATTTAAACTTTTACAGTGAACTCTCTTACAGAGAGTCACATTTTAATGTTTTTAAAATAATTAAAGTAATTGATGTAATTTTTTAAACAATTAAAATAAGTTATTGTAAGGATAAAAATTAAAAGTAAGTTTTTTTTTTTTTTGCAATCTCACAATATCTCAACGAATATTTATGTAAGTACTTAATGATTTGTATAGTATCAATTTAGATGCATATAATAAAAGTTTTAATATATTAAAAGTGGCAAAATAAGTTGAGATTAATAATCTATCTGTTCAACTTTTTTGGTTTTTACAAAGCATCCATTCACATTTTTTTTTCCGAATAGATTCAAACCTGTCTTAACTCATCCTGTTATAATCCGTCAAAAATAAATTAAAGATAGATTAGAGTGAGTTAAACTATCAACTCATATTTTATTATTTATTTTTTTTATATTGTTACTTTTTTTTTTAGTAAGATATGAATTTATCATAATATTTAAATGAAAAGGTAGTATTAATTTTGATTCATTTAAATTGCTCTCCATTATATTAATCCACGATGTTAGAAATTCAACAAGGGTTTTATCAGTAATTAGATTTTGTTTTAGAACACGGGTTGAAGACCGTAAATAAGATAATAATAAGTTTATAGATTTTTATAATTATCTTAAAAAATATATTTAAAATATTTTATAATTAGTTGATATCGTAAAAAAATTACAATCATAACAAATTTATGTCTATTAAATCCTTAGTTTCATAAATAAATATTCTTTAAACTTTTGCTTAACATAACTTGTTCAATTAATTTTAAAAACTGTGTTTCAATGACTATAATTAAGCTCTTGTCAATTTTTCTTATTTAATATCAGTGATAGTACTCACTTTTGACAACTTTGATTACTCTTTCATTCTATTCTTTGGACGCTGAAATTTGAAGTTTCAAACAGGTCTTGAGACGTAGTAACTACCAATGAACTGATTGAGAAGAGACATATCCTGATGTTGGAGAAATGAAAGTTGAAGTTTCGCTATTAAGAACAACTCAAACTACTATAATGAATCATCAACAGTTACAGGACATAAAAAGGGACAATTTTATATGTCTAGAATCACTCCATTCATCTTTAAATATAATAAAGTGGTCTTCGGTCAAACCCTAACCCCTCTTCATTTGTGTTTCCAATTTTCGGTTATGGAGTTATAAGCAATTTAAATTACAGTTCTGTGCTTGCTTTATTTTATATATAACTATATGATATCAAAAGTAAAGAAAACCACTTGTTTTTTGCGTGGAAAAAAAAAGGTATGTTCTATTTTGCTGTTCATAAACACATAAGAAAATTCAGCACCAGGAAAAAAAAACACACAAAAGAAAACTAATGGTGGCATTAATTCTTGGATAAAACCATTTGGATGGTATTTCTTGCATTTAATGGTGAAAAAAACACACACGCACACATAGTTATTCAGCTATTGTAAATGCGATTTACGCTCTATCCCTCTCCTCTCTTTAAGTTTCAGCGTATTAATTTGTGTCAATGTCATGTTCATCCATTTTTACTTGTTGAAATCTTATATACGGATTAGTTACTCAACTATTCCTCAGTAGAATCAATTTCAATTCACTCCTCTTCTTTAATTTACAAAAATGAAACACCAAAGTGAAACTCACCCGTATTTGTCCCTTTATTAAAAAGCACGAAAAAGAGCTCTAACAGTCTTTTAAAATGTTTAAAAATTAAATTTAACATATATATAGTAATAAATAGAAATTACTATATACTTGGACATAAAATATAATAATGAGCATCACAAATTTCTGTTAGCGTAATAACTATTTTACGTTATGTTTATAACTATTCCCACATATTCTTAAAAATGGGAATCACTACCCTCTACCTTAATTCTGTCTTGGAGGGCAAGGTGAGAGTCACTTTCTGTACTCCACAATGGAGCATGTCGATGAGGTCCAAGTACATGCACTTTAAAAAAGATAAAAAGAAAAATTGAATCGGTATTATGACTTCCTTGACCAATCATACAGGTGGTTGCAAACGTACCAACTTGTAAGCAATTACTAAACAATAGTATATTCAATTCAATAGGTTTTGCACAAATAGAAAGTAACATAAATTCCTTTTCGCTTTCTATTATTATTTTATATGGACTCGTTAGGTCATCATACTTTACAACTTAGTTACTTATAGTGGAAATTTATAAAAATAACTATTTAGATTTAACATACAAACATTTTTTAGATATACAAGTAATAATATATGTATAGGAATAAGAATCAACTGAAATCATAAAATTTTTCTCAATAGAACTACATCATATCTTACACACACACATAGGTTGTAGTCAAGCAAACACTACAAGACTAAATTAGCTACACTAGAGCAACTCAAAAGATCAACATGACTCCCAACTCAAACTCTTCCTCCAATCTATCTTTATCCTAATTCATATTAAATATAATCATTGCAATTCAATTACACGGAAACATGTTAAGGTAAGCTAGTATTTCAAAAATAATCAACAAGTATAGAGGAGTTATCTAACTATACTATCAGCCCAATAACACCTCCACTTTAGCACATGAATACTACTATTTATCAACACAACATCTAATCAATTTAGTAGTATACAACCACCACTTCACAACATTACAACATATTAAACTTTCAACACAACTAGGAAATCTATCAACATATCAACATTTTTTCAACTTGAACAACTCAACAATTGCAACTTATCCAAACAACAATATAGCATATGCATAACACCCTTCATCAACTCAACAATATACGTAACACACAACAACTAAATGAGTCATCACATATTACAACTAAGAGATTTCTTATAATACAAGTGAACAATTTTTTAAGTTGTTTGACCCTACCAAACCAACTAACAACATGATCTTTTTACACCAACTAGATCAACAACTAATTTGAATAAAAATCCACATAATTTCTCAGATTTTGTCACTTAAATTAGGAAAGTCTAGTATTTTTGTTAAGGTATAATAACTTGGATGTGAATCTATCACGACTTTAGCATGCATAACTCAACCTCATATGGGATTAACCCATCAACTATCCTCCAAATATTATGTTCTTTTTAGTACTTAGTTAAGAATTATGATCTTCAACCTTATACCTTACTCGATTTTGGTTACTTTGTACAAATATGACTTGACTTGACTCCCATATAGATAAACATTTGGTCACTTTGTAATCAGTATAACTCGACTTAACCCTTATATTATGATCACTTATAAATAATATGGCTCGACTTTGCCCTTATATTGTATCAACTAATTAAAGTTCTATAGAAGAGACTCAACAATTCACTTCAAGAATCAACTTCTTAAGAACGATTTTCAACAACTAGACCCATAGAGCACCATATCACAATATCCTCACAATGAGATATTTAACTTTTAAAATAACATCTCCTCTAATATGAAGTCAATCAACACAACTCAACATATTGTCTTAAGCATTTTCAACACAATTATCTTAGCATACAACTCAACTCACAACTCTCGCCAATTCAATCATCAATTTACATTATATTATATCTATATATAAAGAACTAACAACATACAGCAACATACAACATGATAAAGGTTCAACAAAATACACATGTTCAACACTTGGTCAATAATTCAACACATATTAATTAGGCAACATACATTTAGTGTCATTCTCTTCACGTCCGACATCATTAAGGTAGAGAGTTTTTGCCTTACCCATGCCTGACGCTAATGAACTCGCACTTGATGTGATAGAGGCAGAAAGCCTCTATGGCAATGGTGTGGCCAAAACCCACATCTGACCTTATTTAGGTAGAAAGCTTCTATCTTGATCACACTTGTTGTCACTCAACTAGGACTCGACGTCACCAAGTCAAAAAACTAATATCATCCACTCTTGGCATGACCAAAGTTAGATAGTCCCCCTCTATCTAACTCATGTGTGACGCTATTAATCTTACGCTTGATACTAGTAAGGAAAAAAGCATCTATACATCCTACATCTCGCTCAACGCTTTGAAGTTGTGTTCAACACGATGATGAATTCTATACTTAGCATATTCACGAATTTAACTTCCTCCATATTTGCAACACAGGAATTTCCAACATGCAACACAACAAAATACAACTAGGCATCATACTCAACCCAAATACATCACAAATTTCAACATGCAATCCACAAATGGATCAAATCATCAAATTTCACCTCAACATGTTTCATGAGAAACAAAACCCTAATCTCAACCTTCAGATATAAAAG